AACTGGAACAGCCAAAAACTCTGAAAATTGCAAGAACCGCCCTTCCGATTTGCTGACATTTTACATTTTCTTCCAAGTTTCAGATGAACTAGCAAAAATCAGACTTCATATTAAATGCTTAACATTATTACTCACACACAAACTCTATGATGCTACTACAAACAGCCCCAACTTCGTGGCTAGCTTTAACATTTCGAAAACGCGTAAACGCAAGACCAGTAGTCGAGATTTCAATAAAAGTTAAGAAAACGTTATGCTACGCAATAATTTCAAAAACTATTTGATGATGTCAACAACTCCCCGTAACTCCACCCAATGACAACTACAAAGACAACAATTGCATTTTTAGTCGTGCTAGTTTAACGCTATAGCAATTTTAGTCTCGACGTTCCAACATTTCGCAATATTTTGCTGCAATTTCAGTCACTTGAGGACTGAAATTGAAACGAAATTCCAAAATTCCCAGATTTTTTATTAGCAATTTAAGTCTTGTAATTTAAAATTTTGTTGCACTTTATAATTTAAAATTTTATTGCAATTTCAGTCCTCAAAGGACTACTTAAATTGCATCAAAACATTAAATCACAGTACCAAAAGGCAAAAAGTTAGAACTTTAGGACTAAAATTGTTATGGTGTTAAATCAACAGGACTAAAATGCATTTTTGTGCAACTACAAATTGCACCTAGCAAACTGATTTTTTACGAATCATTTCAAACATTTAGCAACTAATAATAACAACAATAAAAAAAAAAAAAAATCGTATATTACCTTTTTCGTACAGGTGGAGGTCCTGAGCCGGATGCGCCACCCAAACATGGTCGTCCTCCTCGGCGCCTGCCCCGACTACGGCAGCCTCGTCTACGAGTACATGGAAAACGGCAGCCTCGAGGACCGTCTCTACCGCAAAAACGGGACCCCTCCCCTCCCATGGCCCGCCCGTTTCCGAATCGCCGCTGAAATCGCCACAGCCCTCAACTTCCTCCACAAAACCCGGCCCGAACCCCTCGTCCACCGCGACCTCAAGCCCGCGAACATCCTTCTCGACCGAAACTTCGTCAGCAAGATAAGCGACGTGGGCCTGTGCCGACTCGTCCCTGCCCCAGTTGCCGACAGCATCACTCAGTGCCACATGACTGCTGCTGCCGGGACTTTCTGCTACATCGACCCGGAGTATCAGCAAACGGGCATGCTCGGGACGAAATCTGACGTGTACTCGTTTGGGGTCATGTTGCTGCAGATCCTCACGGCTCGGCCAGCGATGGGCCTCTCGCACCATGTTGAGACTGCGATTGAGTCGGGCCAGTTTGCGGATGTGCTCGACCGTACGGTTGGGGATTGGCCGGTTGAGGAGGCTCTTTCGCTGGCGAAGCTGGCTTTGAAGTGCTGTGAGCTAAGGAGGAGGGATAGGCCGGATCTCGACTCGGTGATTTTGACGGAGCTCGAGAGGCTGAGGGATGTGGGATTGGAGGTTTCGCGTGGGGTGAGCTTTTTCTATGCGCACTCGAAAAGTGATGGGAGCTCCAAAGACAGCTCATCTTCGAGTCAGGCGAATCAGGAGAGGTTTTACTACGTCAACTCGTCTTCGAGTCAGGTGAAACAAGAAGTTTTTCCTCTCTAGCAAAACTGCTTTTTAAACAAATACACCATTTTCATCCACTCTTGCCTTTTTCACACACAGCAGTCACATGGTCACACAAAATTTTACTATAATTATATTCATCACGTCTTAACTGGCTACCATCAGTTATATCCAATCATAATTTTACAATTCCTATACTGCATTGAATGTTACATCAAGTTTACGTTCCAATTCAAATCGAACCAATCTTCATCATGTTTATGGATAAATTTCATTTTTAGTACACTATATTGGTAATTTTTCGAAAAAGGTCCATCATATAGGGTGTCATCAAGAATGGTCCACTAAGTTGACACTTTAATCAAAACTCGTACAGTAGCCAACATAGTGTACTAAAACTGGCAACTAAAAATGATCACTTTTAGTACACTATGTTGGTTATTGTACGAATTTTGATTAAAGTGGCAACTTAGTGGATCATTCTTGATGATGCCCTATATGATGATTGTAATGCCCCATTTGAATTATGGAATTTTGAGGATTAATTATTATTATTATTATTATTATTATTATTATTATTATTATTATTATTATTATTATTTATATTATTATTATTATTATTATTATTTATCTTATTTGTGGTTATTATTATTTGTTGAATGCTAAAATTATTTCAATGTCTAATGTGATCTAGTTGCAAAATTGTCTAATTGTCTAAATGTCTAAATGCTATTATTATAAATTGTCAAATTGAGTATTTATATTTTTACTATTATTGTTATTATTATTTTATTAATTGTGTATTATGAAAATATATTATATATTTGGTTTGTTTATGTAATTGTGCGAATTTAATTATCAAGCCCGAGAATTCTGTATCACTTCTACGTAGTCGGGCCCGAGAGCCGATACGTTTCATTGAACCCAACCCGTGAGCCCGTTAATTCGGCCCAAATCCGAGCCCAACCAATCCGGCCCGCCAAGTGTGTGTTGTGTGTGTCTTGGACTCCCAGCCTTTAACCCTAAGTCACAATTCATTCCCGCAGCTTTGGATATCTCTCCCCTTCTTCCAATCGCGCCCCATCACCCTAAATCTCTCTCGCTCCATCGCAAAGGAAAAAGACAAGAACCCATTGTCATCTGTCACCATCATCGTCTCGCAATCACCTCATCCCATTCATCATCCTCTCATCGTCGAGTTCACCATCGTCCGCGACCCCATCTCCTCGCGACTGCAAGTCCAGCGAGCACCTCGTCAGGCCATTCGCGACAGGACCCCAGGCCCAATTCCGGCGAGTTCAGCGACCCCTTCCCGCCGGTGCACAGACCTCCGCGGCAGACAGAGACCAGCCCGACGACCCTCACCGTGAAGCTCCGCCCCGCTGCAACCTTGGCCGCCGGTGACTTGCAGCCCTGCTCCGTCACGAGCCACCAGACGTTGTGGAGCTCCGCCGCCACCCTCTATCAACACGAGCAGGTCCCAGCAGCAACGGCGTTGACCCCCTCCACACACCACCGCGAGCCGACGAATTCAGACATGAGCAGCAACGCCTCCCGAGCCGCTGCAAGGCGACGACCCTCTTCCTCCTCAGCGACGAGTAGCTCTCCTTTCCCGACGAGACGAAGCTTGCCGTCGAGTCTCGAGCCGTTTTCGCGTGCCGTTCGTTCGAGCCCGTCAACCGTTCGTTCGAACGTTTATTTTTCCCGAGAACGGTACAAGGCTCGACTCGTCTCGTTTAATTACGTCTCGTTTATGTGGTGTATTTGATTTACGTGTATGAAGGATTAATTCAAGAATATATGCCTATGTGATTTTATGCGTATCCTTTAGATTATTTGTGTCGTTTATGAAATTGTGCGTTGACGAGTCTTTCGATTTTGGAAAATCGAATGAGGCCTCGTCAACTCGTGAATTTGTTGCTGTGGACTGGAACTTACGTCGTCCCTAGTCTTATGGCAAAGACTTCGGACGGATTCGTCTTAAAACGAGTCGGTTATGAATTATTGAAATTGTCTAATTGCTGTTTTGATGTATAAATTATGATAAATTCTGTGATGCTCGTATCAATGTGAAATTTTGTGTGCTCGACCCTCTGCTGTAAATACATGTTTTGTAAAAATTTCAGGTTTAAATAATAAGTTTAGCTATTTTTAGTAATTGTTTGGAAATCTGAGCTGAATTTTGTAAATTGCATAGTAAATTCCGTTGTGCCTGAAAAATTACGAAATTTGAATATGTTGTCTCACTTTATGTTTTCTAGGTCGTGTAAAAGTTTTGGAATTTTTGGACTTCGTTTGCTATATTTAAAAAAATTGTTTGTTGTATTCTGCAGCTTCATAATTTAATTTTAGTAAATTGA